AGCCTTCTGTAAGCGATAGCAGTTTACAAACACAAAATAAAATGTGTGATAATGTTGAACGGTTACCAATATTCCACTCGTATTGTCACCACTCCCATTTTTTTCTGTTGCAGGCGGAGAGAACGTTAAGCGTCACGACACAAATATCCACAAATGTGACGGCGGATAGTCGTTTAGCTGCTTCACATAAAAGATCTTCCCAAATGGGCGGGGCTATGGGACGCAAACGCGTAGTTCACGCGAGAGGGACGACTCCGTCACCCGGAAGCTCGAATTTTACACATTTCCTACGTTTGGTTCACAACTTTGCTGCGTTTCAAATGATAAACAAAGTCGCGTATGCGTTTCTGAGGTTTGTTGCAACAATTAGATGACAATAGCACACGTAAACTCTCAGATAAGCTACTCCACTCTCATTCCTTCGACACCTGCTCACTCTTTGTGCTCCACCAATCACACATCACTCTCGCGAAATGTGTCTTCAAGGACCCCCGGAATTTCGAAAAACAAACATCTTCATCACTGTTAACGACAGATCGAACGCATATCCCAGTCCGTCAATGTGTAATTAATTCGATGATTTTACGTTCTATTTATGTTTGACTCTATTTTTATGTTCACCCCTTACTCGTGGGTCAGTTTTTTTCTTTAATTGTAGTTGTTTTTATTATTATTATTATTACTATTATTATATGGACATTTCAAGCCACATTTGAAGGTTACATTCGAGTTGTAGTCAAATTTGCACCAAATGTTTTCTGGACTGAAATGTCTTGAGATGAACCCTGCATGCAAAATGAGAAGTTGAAGACGACTTGTCTCCCTGCTGCCAAGAGGCGTGTATGTGGTCATTTCTGGTGACCTTCAGACTTCCATAAAGGCATAAAATTGAGAATGTTGATATCTGGTTGAACATACTGCAGTTTGGCTCACATGTTTCCAGAGACAACGTGACATGTGTATAAGAAGTTAAAGAATGCAAAATAATGGCAAGCAGCGAACATTCAGCAGGTAAGTCAAACTCCGTGCCTATGTAAGAATGTTCATAATAATCTAATGTCCAAAAAAAAAAAAAGTTGCTGTCAATAGCTACCAAGTGCGGAGCCTCCTGTGTGTAAACGCAACACCTACTCAAGTTACTAAAAATGATTCTTTCTTCTACAGCTAATGACTCCTGAAATAAGCCCGAGCTCTTAAAATGAGCAGTAAGCGTTCCCATTTCTATTTGAATGAATGTAAAATGGAGTTTTTAAATTCAACATCTACTTATGGTACCAAAAATGCTTCCTTCCCAACTGTGTTTTGTGTGCGTCTTAGTGGATGGCTGGCATACTTCCCACTTGAAGCTAGTCCTCCTCGGAGGTAGGAACTCGGGAAAGAGCTCCCTGGGGAACCTCCTCCTGGGAAAAGATGAGTTCGTTACCAAGGAGAGTCAGAAGTTAGCCACACACAACAAAAGCAGTAGTTTTATAGCCTTCTGTAAGCGATAGCAGTTTACAAACACAAAATAAAATGTGTGATAATGTTGAACGGTTACCAATATTCCACTCGTATTGTCACCACTCCCATTTTTTTCTGTTGCAGGCGGAGAGAACGTTAAGCGTCACGACACAAATATCCACAAATGTGACGGCGGATAGTCGTTTAGCTGCTTCACATAAAAGATCTTCCCAAATGGGCGGGGCTATGGGACGCAAACGCGTAGTTCACGCGAGAGGGACGACTCCGTCACCCGGAAGCTCGACTTTTACACATTTCCTACGTTTGGTTCACAACTTTGCTGCGTTTCAAATGATAAACAAAGTCGCGTATGCGTTTCTGAGGTTTGTTGCAACAATTAGATGACAATAGCACACGTAAACTCTCAGATAAGCTACTCCACTCTCATTCCTTCGACACCTGCTCACTCTTTGTGCTCCACCAATCACACATCACTCTCGCGAAATGTGTCTTCAAGGACCCCCGGAATTTCGAAAAACAAACATCTTCATCACTGTTAACGACAGATCGAACGCATATCCCAGTCCGTCAATGTGTAATTAATTCGATGATTTTACGTTCTATTTATGTTTGACTCTATTTTTATGTTCACCCCTTACTCGTGGGTCAGTTTTTTTCTTTAATTGTAGTTGTTTTTA